ATGTGTATAAGAGACAGCCATCAAGCCGTGCTGGGGTTCACACCCCCATCCTGAGCCCCCCCAGCACCGGCACTGTCAGAGCATCCTCCTCCTCCCCCCAGCTCAGTGGGAAGGAGCCACCGTGCAGGATCCTAATTCCAAAAGGTGGCATTAAACAGATTAAAGGTGGGATTTAGAGCGGATTAAAGTCTGGATTAACCGGAGCTTTGACTTGTATCTTGGTCTCACGCAGTGGTTGGGAAATGAACCTCAGACCAGCCAGATCCTCCCCAGCCCCCTCCGGCCCTGCCGTCCCCAGGCCATCGCCTGCCCCCAGGCCCCGCTCCCGCTGCCCCCCAGGATTTGCTCCCGGCCCCATGTTGTGCCGGAACAGCCGGAGCAGCTGTTCCCGCTCTCCTGAACAGTTGCAGCGTCAACCTGCCCAGCATAAATCACCCTCCCGGGCTCGTCTGTTCCTGGTGGCCACTTGCAGTGATGGGAAACAAGCCGTTAGCCGGAAGCAGCGTGGCACGGGCCTGCGGGCCAAGGAGACACGATAGATCGGGGGGAGGTGGTTGATGGAGCGAGGGAGCACCAGCAGAACGTGGCGCCTTCCTGGTGCCAGGGTCAGCTTCTGTCCAGCCCGTGTCTCCGTCACTGCCTGGTCCCCTGTCCCCATTGATGCCCTGTCCCATGTCCCTATTCCTGCCCTATCCTGTGTCCCCATTACTGCCCCATCCCATGTCCCTGTCACTGCCCTGTCCTGTGTCCCCATTTCTGCCCCACCCCATGTCCCCATCACAGGGACATCCCTGCAGCCTGGGCTGCTGTGCTCACCCAGCTCAGGCCATTGCTGAAGGTGCTGTGGAGGGTGATGGGATGGAATGGGCATGTGGGGGGCACCCTACTTCCCCCAGTATGCCCAGTATGCAGACCCCCACTTCCTGTCTCCAGTTCCTCCCTGGAAACACCTCGAGGACAGTCCCCTGCAGTGCACAGCTCTCCAACCCAATCTCAGCCCTGGAGCTGCACCCCAAACCCTCCTGGGGTGTCAGCAGCAGCTGAGGGTGGTCCTCAGCTGGGGGGCACACCGGGGCTCCCCCATCCCTGCCGGGTGGCACCGGGTGCTGCCAGCATGGACAGAGCAGCCATTGCCCATCAGCAGGGGACGAGAGCTGGCGCTGCAGAAAAACGGAGAATAAAAAAGAGAAGGAACAGGATCTGGGCCAGCTCGCGTGCTGTCTCTCTCCCCCCCTTTCCTCCTCTCCTCCTTTCACTGAAATGAAATAGTGCTTTGCAAAGGCTCCTCTCCCGCACGCTGAGCATCGCCTCGTGCTCGGGGAGGTCACACGTCTCATCCCGCTCCCTCTCGCACGGCACATCCCGCCTCGGCGGCCAGCACAGGCCAGCGGCACCAGCCCTGATGCTCCCCACCTCTGCGGCCCCACCTGGGTACAGGGGGGGCTCCGCTCCAGGTGAGGGGGGAGCATCCTCAGAGAGGCAGCGCCTGAATAATTCACAAGAGCTCAGCAAGAGAAACAGGAGCTGCTGCCCGCTGGGTCGCAGAGGAGCTGCTGTCTGTCCTCCCCTTTGTCCCCAGTGTCACTTTGTCACGCCGCTTCAAGGACCCATCTCCATCAGCCTCCAGGGTGCTGGTGGCACAGCAGGTCCCCGGGAGCACCCCAGCACCCAGCACCACCACCCCGCTTTGCTGAGCAGGGTCAGCACACGGCTGTGCGGGGGGACAGGGTGGGGACGGGGTGTCCCCAGCACCCACGTGGCCCCACTGGGATGGCACATGCCAGACCCCGGCAGCTCCTGGGACGGGGGATGGCATTGCTCCCCATAAAGGCCTTATTGTCATCGTGGCACATGCAGAGGAGGGGGAAACACCCTCTGGGGGGGGGGGGGGGGGGGAATCCCCCTCTGGGGGGGGGGAGGTGGTGAATCCCCCAAGCCCTTCCCATCGCCAGCATTTTGCATTCCCCTTGCTCCCCTCCCGCACCCCGTGCAGCTGCGTCTCACCACAATGGCCCCTTCTTGCCGCGTTATCGGCACCGGCTGCGCTGCCTCGGCCCCTTCCCCAGCGCCGACCTTCCTCGCCAGCAGCCGAGGCAGAAAAATTCATCCCTGTAAAAGCAAAACCCATCCTGGCAGCCACCAGCTCCGGAGGAGAACCGCGAGCTGGGGATGCTCTCCCCGGCATGCACTGGACCAGTTATCCCAGAGATGCACTGGGATATTCAGCTGGTGTTGGATGGAGGGAAAGGGGGTGCAGAGGTGTCACTTCGGGGTGCTTGGCAGCACCCAAAGGGTGGCTGGGAAGCCCACGGGGCTGCCGTGGGGACAGCCGTGGGGACAGGCCGTGGGGACAGGCTGTGGCTGTGGCAGGACCATCCAGCTCCTGCAGCCTGGGAACGACGGGATGGATGATGCTGGAGTGAGGGCACCCGGGGGAGAGAAACCACCATGGAAAATAAGGATCTCTTGGACCCACAGATGTGTTTTCTCCCAGCCGTGACCCTGCACCCAGCTCCTGCAGCCTCCGGAGGTAATTTCTGAGGAGGTGCTGGCTCTCTTGCTCTCTCCTCGCCGCCTCCAGACACCACGTGCCGCTGCACGCAAAGCTGGGGCAGCCCCTC